TTGTACAAACCTGGAGACACATGGCTTTGGACGGGTCAACGCTGCAGGATCGGGTTTGTTGGTTCTGGACATTCTGAAGCCAGAAATATTGGTTCTGGTTCTGTGATCCAGATGAACACACCTAACAGGAGTTACACTGAGCATGCTCAGTAGGTTTCTAAATGTGTTGTGCTGTCAGAACCAGAACCATTAGAACCTCTGAGGGCAACCAGAACTTCAGCATCACTATGGACATTCTGGTCCGGCCCGAATGACTCGTCTCCTGCCTGATGAGAGGTGAACGCCGTGCCAGACCCCCTGCTGGGTTCCCGAGGAGCAGAACCGCCTTTCTATCTGGGTTGGTATCTCAGATTAGCATTGCAAAAGCAGTCGGCCATTGTTGGCGTCCGCGGCGGCTGGAAGACGATAAACGGTGTTTAACAGACAGCCGAACACGCCGGGCTCCTTCAGCGCCCGACGCCATGACATTTACTTATCGCTCGCCGCCGCCCTCATCTGACCTTTCTGCTGCTTTGAATGACATCTGGATATTCTGAGGAATAATCGCAGGCAGTAAACGCTTCGATGGCGAGCGAGATACAGCGCACAATGAGTCTGAAGGGCGAGAGGAGAGAGGGGGTGGGGAGGATCTGGGGAGGCCCGGAGTGCCGGTCCGGTTCCAGATAGAGAACCTGAACCTCCCTAACGCCAGGAGAACCAGAGAGGAGAACCTTCTCTTCATAACATCACTACAGTCAGAACCTGATCCTGGTTCCAGTTAGAGGTTAGTGGTCTCCTATAGAGAGTGGACCGGGTGGACCAGAACCGGGCTGCAGACCCACCTGGAGTCATGAAGAGGAGGCAGACAGGTGAGGAAGGTTGTTCATCACCATGGAAACTCACCGGTGTAGACGAAGCGACCCGGCGCTCCTTTGCAGAACTGTTTGGACTTATAGGACAGCGTGACCTCCACGACCCCGGGGATGTGCCGGGGCGGAGTCTGGACCCGGATGGCGTGGGGCGTGATGAGCTGCATGGAGAACCGAGGAAAACCAGGTCATCATCATCATCATCATCACTTTCATCATCATCATCATCATCATCATCAACCCAAACAGGTTCTGGAGTCAGAACCAACCCAACCCTCTAGAACCTCGCAGAACTCTTCTTCTGCCCCTAAAACTCTCGGGGGTTCTGCAGGGTTTTGATTAGTTCTAGAACCTGTAGACCCGGCCTCTGGTTCTGATATCAGAAGCACCAACTGGGTCAGGTTGTTCCACATGTCAGAAACCAACTTCAGGGTCCACATATTTACTCAGAGCCATGAAGGGTTCTGCTCTGATGTGGTTCTGGTTCAGTAGGCTTCAGCCAGATCTGTTCAGCTGAATGGGTTCTTATGTAGAATCGGGTTCTGGGTTCTCTGGCCCACACATCTGAGTCAGTAACCAGATCATCAGCAGAACCGGACTGAACCTTGATGGTTCTGGGGAGTTGAATCAGCGACAAGTCTTGATGCTGCTGGACACCAGATGGAGGTTCTGGACCGGTTCTGCAGTATGATGACCCGTCAGGAGCGATCGGAAGAAGCAGCAGGTTATCTCCAATCTGAGTCGCCGCCACTGATCACAGCGTGTGATGATGATGATGATGATGATGATGGAGGCGGCTCCTTCCTCTCCAGGTGTTCTGCTCTTCTGGACCCGCTCCAATATTTGATGTGCTGCAGCTCAGCGCCGCATCTGGATGCTTCCCATGGACTTGGTGATGATGATGATGATGATGATGATGACGGCTCGAGCAGCATCCTTAGTGGGTCCCAATCACTGAACTGGTTCTGGTTCTGATTTGGAGTAAACTTCACGACTTCACCAGCTGGGATTTAAATCCTGGAAAATGGAACAGGAAAACTTCCGTTGGATGCTCCGGTTGGGTGCTGCGGTTGGATGCACCGGTCGGGTGCTGCGGTTGGATGCTGCGGTTGGGTGCTGCGGTTGGATGCTGCGGTTGGGTGCTGCGGTTGGATGCTCCGGTTGGGTGCTGCGGTTGGATGCTGCGGTTGGATGAATGTTTGCAGAAGGAAGAAACGCTCTACTGGCTGCTGCTCAGTTAAAAACTAAAACAAGTTAAAGAATTTCCAGAGGAACCCAGTCACTGGGCAGAACCAGAACCAGAACAGACCCAGAGCAGCGTTACAGAAAAACCCGACCGGACCAGAACCGGACATGGAAATGGCCCTGACCTCGCTCCAGACCAGCATGGTGCCGAAGACGACCTGCAGGCCGTCGAAGAAGTTGTCGCCGATGAGGATGACGGTGGCGCCGCCGGTGGTCCAGCCTTCGCTCGGACTGATGGCCTTGATGCACGGCGTGGCTGCTTGGAGACACACACACACACAACGGCAGCGTCACTATGTGACCTCTGACCTCTCCACGCCAACAAGGTCCGATCTACATGTTCAGAAAAACATGTTTTAATTCTGTTTCCAGCTACGAGGAAGCTGAGAAAGGTCAGAGGTCAGAGAAGCTGAAGGCGGCCGAGCGACAAATGAACCATTTCCAAGTAAGTCGCTGCTCCGAGTTCATCAACAAATCTGGATGAAAGCCGGAAAAACTCAACAGGCGAAACAAACGCTGCAGCTGCTGCAGTGGAGCGCGTCACATTCAGGGAGCGACTTCTGGAGNGCTCGGCAAAATTTGTTATCGTGACAGGCCTACTCACATCAAATATTGATAACTCAACTTTTTTCCTCCTCAAAACAACGTTTTCCATAATTTTGAGGAAGTTTATCCTTGCATGTGTTGTTCTTATCTCTATTCAAGACTGTTCAGGTATGCATAAAGGAAGGCTATAAATGATTTGTACCAGAGACTCAGAAAACATAGTGATGAAAAAACCTGCCTCACCAGGCTCTCGCAGTTCGACCCTGGTCATTTACACAGCTACAGCTTAGCCCATCTGCTGGGAATAAAGATGACTCCTAAGTACATGAAGCTGCCATAAGCCTGTGTTTCCCATTGTAAGCTGTTTTATAGGGTCCTGCAGCTTGCTGCCATCTGTTTTTTTTTTTTTTTTTTTTACCTCTTTTTTATTTATATATTTAGTATTTTCTGTCCCTGTGCTCTCTGCCGTGGCCTGACTTGTGTGAGACACACTCGTCTGTGTTCATGTGGGAGGCGGATGACGCTGCAGCAGTTCCCCACTCCACCTCCCAAACCTGTCACGTGTTTCACTCCCACAGGCCTCCACTCCTCTCTATTGCCTCTTGTCTTCCACTCAGTTTCATCTTTGTTGCGTGCATAGTTGCATTTATTCTCGCCGTGATGTCTCCTGCGCTGACCAAATGACCAGATAATAGAGAAATAATCCAATGTCTTTTTATTTTTTGTATTTTTCTGTAGTGTAAAAATAGTTTTTGTGGAATCAACCTTGATTATAAGGACAAATATGTGGAAGTCATTTTAGTTTTCTCTTTTTTTAAAAGACAAACATTTCAATTGAGCTTTTCTTCTGACACCATTTTCTGGTCTTGTTTAGCCAATTTTGACTGGTTTTGATTTATTCCAAGTAAAAAAAAAAGATGATTTCTGAGTACAGCAGAAAGTGAAAGAGATTCATTATAGTTCATATTTTTCCATTCAGACATTTTGAATTAATTTAAGCTGAAAAAGTGCATCAAATAACGTTAGTTGATGAATTAACTGATGAAAATATCGAAGGTTTTTAATTCTCCTTCATCTGATGAATAAAGAACCAAAAAACCCCTCTCTTTTCAGTATTTTGTTTACCAGTTCCTGTTTTTAAAATTGATCAAGTCTCCAATCTTTAGCCAGCTGGTTATTGATAGTTTAGCACTTTTATTACACATCTGTCTCTGATCTCTTAATGGATACAGCTGGTCATTTATTAGACTCTCATTATTCTCTCCTTGCTGTGCCTCCATTTCATGCCATTTTTTATTTTACTTGTCTTCTTTTGAATTTATGAGAAACCTTTTCTGTATTAGGGTGCTTTCCTTGATGATTAACAGTCCAAACTCCATCTTTCCTGCCCTTTGTGTTATTTCCCCCCTCACTGTCTTCCTGCAACGTGATTAAAAGAGGTTTAATCATCAGTTGACCTCGGCTGATATGAGATTCTCGGGTGTGATGAACTGGAGTAAAAATAGAACAAAATTCTTCTGAATGCCTTTATTTATAACAACATTTATACCCTACTGCTAATACTCCCTTGAAAATATAACATTGTAGAATATGATACCTTTTTTCTTCTCTTTGTCTGAACTTTATAGAGCAACACAAAGCATCAACAGGCTGATATTAGCAGATGACTGGCTGCTTGTGTTTTCCACACCACCATTTTCTGTTTTTCGCAACCAGAAATATCTTGAAAACAGCTGAATTTGTGTCAAAGAAAAGCGCTTTTTTCACCTAGCTGGCTGGCAGTGTGCAGCTAGAGAAGCAGAAGATTTTTCCCCCCCCAACTTAACCAACTGGTCTTGATGTTTTTTGGAGTCAAACATATGTTACATGCTGGTGTAATAATTTCATGGTATGTTGAATGAATTCAGCGACGCATGACTACTGAACGCTGCTCTAACCGAACTGTCGTTTGCCTGTTGAATCAATCAAGTTGAATATTAAAGATTAAGGCAGATTAAGGGCAAGGAATTAAGTTGATTGTGTTGGTTCTAACCTCGCTACGTTTGTCTGAAATGCCCTTGTCATCACCAAAGTGGGGTTAATCAGATTACATTTTAGGTTGTGAGGCTGCAGCTGGCAATATAATGAACAGTAGGACCTGGTGGCTTGAATATCAGCCATGTCATCACAAAAGCTGCTGTGTAGCAGCTTAAAACACTTTGCATCCAACCTCATCCCCCACAGTCAACTCAAGCAAAAGTGTTCAGTCGTTTACATATTTGTAAATATGTAATAATAAAATTAATAAAATGAAATTGACATTTTTAAGTTGATCGATTTATCTGCTGTGTATTTATCATTTCTTTGTCTTTTTTCTTTCAGGAACCCATAAAGTCCAGGGCGCCACAGCTCCATTTGGAGTACAGATTTTACAAACAGTTGGGAAATTCAGGTAAGAGAAATTCAGCCTCACAATAACAGATCAATTTCTAATCATATCCTTTTACTACCGACTCCTTTGTAGACTACAGAGCATGGAAAACACACATAACTCCAATTATCTGTTTTATGTTTGTCTTATGAACAGAGTGAACATTTCTACTAACAGCAAAGAATAATTAATTAATATGTTTAAGGTAGTTCCTCCAGTGTCCAGTTTGCACAAAGCATTAAATTTGTCACAATAGATATTGTTTTTGTTCAATTTATACATTTATGCATTTTTATAAATATAGAATTTTTTATTTTTATGAATAAAAATTTTAAAATACATTTTTTAAATATATTTTTATTTATAACCATAAGAATAGTTAATTTTATTTATGGTTTTGGTTGTGTGTTTTTTATTGTTTTTCCTTGCTGTGTTTTTTATTTGGATATTTAAAATATATTCCAGTTCCAATGTTACTTATCCCATTATCAATACATTACTTGAAAATGATCTCAAAACAGTAATATTATTATTTATCATAATAATTTCTGGGTCAATTATCGTCCACAAATATGTACCTTTAAAGATGTTTCATATTTTTTAGCTTTCTCTCTCAATAAACCAACTTGCTGACGGGCGTAATTTAAATTATATCACACAGCTGTTTGATCATACACATATCTAATCTGTATTGTTCCTTTATATCAGAGTTTGTTTTTTTATTAGAATTATATTGGAGTTTAGCTTATAAATGTTGCAATTAAAGCTGCATGGGTTTAAAAACTCGTTCTGAGAGCTAGTAAGAGCACGGTTTTATTAGTGTGCAAAGGTTTATCCTCTAAGTGATTCTCCCACATCAAGTGTGTGTCCTGTGGTCAAATTTAGTGCCACGTGCGAAAGCCTTGGCTCCTTGCACCAAAGCAAAAGCCCTCCAGTGTTGATAAGGAGTTGGGGCATTAGGGTAGTCCTTGACTATTTATAGCTGGGCCTCTACAAGCATTCAAGCCATTATGGTGTCTACTTGGATAGCTTCCCCAGTCTCAGTATCCTCTGCCTCAGTGATTAACTGTGTCCTGCCTGCAAACACTCACTGCTGTCAAGCTGCAGACGCTTCTTTTTGTACGGCTTCATCTTTCATTCTGACATGTCGGCTAATCTTAATCTGTGTTTACCAGCGAATACACAACACAGTCACTCTGCTCGTCACGTTCAGTGTTGTTACCATGGATATGGGTTTCTGTTTTCCTCTGGTTTGCTAATCATAAACCTACAGAGCTGAAACAGTTAATCGGATAAATCTTGAAGAATCAATTAGTGAAATAATCGTCAAGTGATTTTGTAACCGAATCGGCTCTAATACATCACACTTTCTGGAAGAACACACTCGAAGGAGTCAAATCTGTTCAAAAAATATATAAATTTTGCATTTAATACACAAAAAATACCTTGTTCATCTGTAAATATGTTGTGCCCAGAACTCCTCAAGTGAAATAGTTTTTGCTATGCAAAAAAATGCAATTAAGCACTTTTGCTATTCAATTATTAATTGATTAATCAAAACAAAAAATTAACAGATCAGATCAATTCTGTGTTGATGATTAGCCAAACAGGAAGGGCTGATCTTTTCACGTTATCACAAGTAACTTAACAGTGAATTATTACTTTTTTGTATATTTAATCTATTTCTAATATTGCATAAAAAATATTTAAGTGGTTTAATGAAAAATATGCAGAATGTGCCGTTTTATTTAATTTGATTTATCGTCAGAATAATTGGTTAATCAGTTACTTAAATAGTAGTTAATAACAGCCCTACAAACCCAGGATTTCAATTTGTTTGAAATTTTATGTAGAATAAAACAAAATATGTAAAAAAAGAAAAAAGAAAGAAAGCTGGAAACACACTATTTTTCTTATCTGATCTACAAATAAGATCCATTTTTATTCATATTTCTGGATGATTTTATCAATCAGCCTGATTAATTTTTAATAGGACCTTGGGCCTGTTTTAAAAATGATTTTAGCTTTACCTCGTTCCATGTCCCTTTGAGGTCACGGGGTCAGCGATGCAAATTAAACCTGCTAAAAGGTGTTGCTCCTCTCTGGCCTGCATCAGCGCTGCGTTCACACAGCAGGGCTTGGCGCTCAGTTCCAATATTTATATTTATTTTGTGTGGTAGGAGGAAGTACAGCTTGACTGTGTAGCATGGCAGAAATCTAGGCGATAAATCTACTTATGTTGTCAACTTGGCTAAATGGGGACATGTGACCCTGCTCGTCCTGCCCAGGCCGAGAGCCTCAGATATGTCGTAGTGTGGACTACTCAGCTCTTAATGCCAGCAGCGGCTTATCTGCACACTCTTAATTCTGCCTTGCTCTAACACAACCCAGCTGTTGAGTCTCCCTTGGCATGTTTGTGACTAAACTAACACTGAAGACTGAAACTTTCTTTTAGAATTGGCTGTTTTTATTTGTAACTTGTATTTGGTAATGGAAACTGTGCTGTGCAGTGGCTGATTCGACTCTTACAGTTACATATTTGTGGTGATATATGTTTGATTGATGTCAAATATGGGAAGGTTTTATTATTCAGTGGAGGGTTTCAGCTTCTAATGGACCCATTAAGACTGGGAGGATAATGTGGTAGTTAACTGAAACAGGATCTGCTCTGAATGAAAGTTCCAGGACTCATTCATGGTATTCGGACACAACCGTTATCTCATAATTTAGGCCATATCTCTGTTGTAGCACGTTTTGCTTTATTTAAATTTTTATGTGTGTGTCTTTTTGTCTTTTTTTGCCTGAGATTTAGCTGCTGCTGTTCCCTCTTTACTGCCTCTGGTCATTCATAAATCACCAATTAAGGCAATCATGTTCCATGTTTTTCATCTTGTCCACCAATGAATCCACAGCTGTAGAAACCTCAGTGATTGATTCAGTCTCAGAGCTCTTATGTGAGCCCTGTTGAAGCAAATTAATGCATGTCCTATTGCCATACTAGAGTCAAGGCGTGTTCAACCTGAAGTCATCTGGTTTTGTCATGGCTGCATCAAACTCTGCACACAGCCTGACCTTCATATTGTATTCATATTGGAGTAAGAGTGGTTGGTCATCTTCAACCCCCTTAATCCTATCAGAAGTCTTAGCTAAAAGCTATTGTATTTATCTATTTATTTACTGGGTTGTTTGGCTCTACTGGTCTTTTATTGGACAGTAATTTGACAGGAAATGGCTGGAGAGAGAAGAAGATGTGCGGTGATCAGATGCTGCTTAATCCCATCGCAATAAGCAATAAATCAGTTACTTGCATGATCAATTACAAAGAGCTCAATCATTTTCATTTGTGATTTTTTTTTTCTAGTCTCTTTCTACCAAAGACTGGATGATTAAAAGCTTCAGTCTGGCTCATTGGTCTCATCTAGCCTCGTTTCATCAGTCGTTTCTGTTGTTTTTGTCTATTTATTTTGGTTATTTCAGTTCCAGTGTTAAATCTACTTTAGAAATCAATGTTTCCTGACCTTTGAGAGGGTGTACTTGCATCATTATTACCTGAAAATTATCTCGAAACAACAATATTATTTGTTTATTGCAAATACCTTCTGTGACAATTTATCATGCAGCAAAATTCATCGTGACGGGCCTAATGTTGGACAAACTTTGCTTGGCATCTTTAAACTCCATTTTTGGTTAAGTGCTTGTTTATATTTAACAGTTGTGGTAAATATTTAGCAAAATTACACAAGGGATAGAGGTTAAAAAGGACTTTAAAAGGAAGTCCTTTTTAAGAGGTTATGTAATGAGTTAATGTACAGGTGACACATCAGTAATTCCCTGTATGTTTTTATGCATGCCGTTTAGTTTCAGGATTCAGCTCAATTAGATGAAGCAGAACAGTTTTCATATTGGAGTGAGTAGGAAAATGAACAGCAGCAGTATCTAAATACGAGTGTGAATGAAGAAAATTAAAGAATATTGTCTCGTAATGCAATAAGTGAGTTTATATAGACAAAGGGCATGAAGGAATATGAACGAAACCTACAAATTAATAGTTTCAACTAAATCTATTTGTTTCTGTATCAGCAAAATCTTTGCTGTAGTTCTGTGGTTTGGAGTTTAGATTGATGTGAATGTGTTTTATTTAAAGTAAAGTTGTTTCGGCCATTTTTAATTTGTGGAAACACTCTGAAACTCTGGAAGAATACCTGCAAAATAAAAAAAAGCAGAATTAATTAATAGATAATCTATATTTAAATTCATATAAATCGCAAGAAAACAAGGCATAGATTGAAAAATGCAGGTGGAAGCATGTGCTTTTATACATATAGCACTGTCAAAATCAAAACGGCAACATCTTTCCTGCATATTTTTCTAAAACAAAATCTCCAATAAGATTTGGAGTCTGTAGACAAACGGATGAAAGGAAAATAATTAGATTTAATTGTAATAATTGTATCTTTTTTGACTAGATTTCAGCCTCACATCTTTTTTTTTTAGTTGTAGTTGTCTGTAACATTTCCTGCTCCATTCTCAGTACTTGCCAGGGTAAATGCTGATCAAATTTCAACCTTTTGAGAACATCTTCACAGCATTAGACCTAATGGACATCACCTCTCCTCTTCAGCCTTCTCTTTATTCCGTCCATAAATCTTCTGTATGCTCTCCCTCTCTTCTTCCATCCTTCTCTCCCCTTCTTTCCTCATTGGTTCCCGTCATTGTAGAGCAACATTGTCTCCTGCCACCATGATGCAGTCTTGCCTCTGACCGTCGCCTGAGAAGGCCCGCCTGCAGAAACAATGGGCTAGATTGTCTCAAATTGTCAAGACAGCAGGGGTCAGAGTGTCACTGGCGCTGAGAACATTTCCCACAATGCTGAACAAATGTAGTGTACATGATGGTCTGGAACTGAATTATAGGGATTTATACAAACACAGATGTGTGTAATTTTACTGTTGATGGTGTTTTTGTTTTTATTTCTTTGTAGCTGCTATTGGCAACATAAAGATGGATTTGTGAATAACAAACTTGCGTTGCGCAGCGTTTAGCAGCAGTAAATTCCTGACTGCGAGCCCCAGCATCAGAAGAAGATTACAGTGCACGCCATGCTCTTCTGCGGTGATGACTGTGTTTTGAATGCCCTCTAGATTTGGGCCAGGCTTTGATGAGTCAGCCTCCCTGTGATCTCTTGTCACAGTCTCATCTGTCGTGGACATCATAATCAGGAAAATCCTAGAGGCTAGAGTGCAGACAGGTGTGCGTCCATGCAAGGATAGATAAGGGTGTGTTTGTGTCATTTTTCATCCATGCATGCAAAGTGGTGGTGTTGTTGAGGAATTCAGAGGTCAATCCAACGATAAAAAGCTGCAGAGAAACACCGCTCAACGCCCGTCTGTCATTTATCATTCATTTGGAAAATTGTGCATATCTGGATGTAATTTCTTTTGTTGTAGCAGCGCCTATTAAGGTTGTCCTGATCAATATTTTATTCAGTTCTAACTCACCGATTCTGATTTTGACAAAAATATGTTTGTACTCTGAGTGAAAGAGTCAAACTTAACTGATGGATTGGTTAAGCTCTGGTATTCATGTGTTTAACCTCTGCTAATTGCCGCTTATTGTTAAAGGGCAGGGGTTATTATGTATTTATGTATTTTCCAGACATTTTATAGCACAGTCAAGTAACTGTTGTTCTGAAAATGCTGTATCAAACACGTCTTAAAAGAAATGTAACTTCACATAACAGTCACATCTGACGCCTTGAAATTAGCCTCTGTCTCTTTAAGAAGCTCTTTTCGACACACCGCCTTCAGAACAGCATCTCAACCGTTTTTAGTGTTGTAGTTTGTATGATTCGCTCAGCAGTTCCAACAGGTGTTTGCTAATTGTTGCTGCCGCTAGTCTAGAGGAGCAGAGTAGGGGAGAGGTGCTCCTATGAGGCTGTGGACTGAAGCTCCATGGCAGAGCTTTGGGTAAATAAACAGTGAGAGCAAGCGTTTAGGCACCCCTAAGTGGTTGCCATGGAGATTGAAGGATTTATCAAACTTGCATGAATGAGTCAAAGCAACATTCCAGGTATGTTTTTGATGAAGGAATAACTTTATAATATGGCAAAGATCAAAAAGCTAAATTTTGCTAACTCTATTTTAGGCACTTTTCACAGAAACAGAAGTCACAAAGTGCTGTGCAGCATAAATCACAGTTAGCTTGGCAGGAAGAAGGGCAGAAGGACATGCAGTAAAGGAGGCAGGAATCAAACCTGGGGCCGCGACGTCGAGGTCTGAAGACCTTGTTTATGGTCCACTTTCTTTACCACTGATCCACCTGGTGCCCCAATCACATTTAAATAATACAAAATGTAAAAAGCACAATAAAATCATGTCATAAAAGCCTAGAAGAACAAAGCGCTTTTTGTTTGGTTTCTAAAAAATGCTGCAGAGTCAGCAAAATGAAGCTGCCTGGGAAAACTGTCACACGGTTTTAGAAATGAAACGTGCAGCTCCCAAAGACAATAAAACAAAATTGGAGGCATCTCTTTTGAAATAAATGCTCCATCGTTATTTACTTGTTTTTAATTGGCACTGTACATTCCAAGTCTTTGACAACAGAGAAATGTTTATTGGTGCTAAAATGTTCATTGGCCTGGCGAGTGGAACCCGGCGGTGTGACTTTTACAAAGTTTTTTCCACCATCTGATAGTGGATTGTGTAAAATGTCTGTATTTCTTGCTTTCCTTGCCCACTGTGTTTTTCTTGGGTGCTTGTGAAATAAGACTGTTATTCTTCACAGATCTCTCTGCACGTTGTGTTGTTGTTGAAACCAGTAGATGGTGGGAAGTAGTTGCAGATCATGCATAACAGACTACTTTTTTCTCTTTTCTTTCCACACCACATATGTTTCCATGTATATCTTACATTCTGTCTCCTCTTGTTCTCTCATAAGAGCGCACCATAGAGTTTTGCCACACCTGAGTTTTCAATTAAGCTGTACTGCCGTTTGGTCCGTCCACATTCCTCAGGGGTTTTGCACACAACCAGGTGTGGCTTCTGTTGCAGGTGACGCCGTGCTTCTTGTGTTTCCTGTTGCTTTTGAAGTCACATTTCCCATTATCCTGCTTCTTAGGAAAAGCTCCATCTGCTTTGGACAAACCAGTTGAGGAGTGAGCCATTGTGTGCGTTTTGTAGTTTCAGCGAGTCCAGCCTCTCTTGTCAACACTCCAGAGCTATAAATCACCTTCCTCATACTTAGCTTTGTGTTGCAGCATTGTGTACAACATGGTAATGTTTTGAGAATGGGAAGTTTTTATGCTCTAAATGGAAGTGACAGTGAGTTGACATTTGCTGCAGTTTCGGTTTGTCTGGTTCAGCATAGAAAGTTGAAAAATGTTACTACGCAAAGGTCAACTGACCTTAGTAATTTATTAATTACTTACACGAGTTTTGCTGTAAAATTGGCGAGTTTTGTGTTCATAGCTGATACTATAATTTTATTTTTCTGTAAACTAACCTCCACACCTCAAACACACACACTGATTTGTTATCTTTTACAAGTAATAAAAAAATTAATTTTTTATGTCCAGTCTGCTTCATGTCTTGAAAATGATCTGACAAAAACCTGTTTGTGTCTCCACAGAGGGAATTCCTCAGGTGTACTACTTTGGCCCATGCGGGAAATACAACGCCATGGTTCTGGAGCTGCTCGGGCCCAGTTTAGAGGATTTGTTTGACCTGTGCGACCGCACCTTCTCCCTCAAGACCGTCCTCATGATAGCCATACAGCTGGTAAGACCTGAGTGAGAACGTAACATAATGAAAAACTTAATCGATTACAGCTTCTCATAAATTCATTCAACATGGCAATATATTTAAAATGTTTGTTATTTATTTATTAGGAGAATGGTTTGGGGTTTGGGGTTCAGTTTTAACCCCAGACCATGGTCTGAGACACATGGTCCAGTATCTCAGACCATCAGGATTACACAATAAAATAAAAATACAGAAATATCATGGTCTACACAAACATCAAGCAGGTTGCTGGCTTGAAATCTGATAACTTCCACAAGAATGGTAAAGCAGAAAAGGTTATTGTAAAAGAAGATGGAAGTTCAGAGGGTTGTATCCCAGCATATTAATGGAAAGTTGAGTGGAAGGAAAAAGTGTGGCAGAAAGCAATGCTGAAGCAGCAGGGATAAGCATTTAGCAGGAATTATTGAACCAACGGGGCATGACTTACAACTCACTATTGTCCTGTGCAATATGCGTAATATATCGCAGGGAATTTTCTCAAAATGAATAAAGCTTTCTACCACATCACCGTCACATGAATTCCTCAGTCCTGTGTTACTCTGTTACGTTTCATCGCGGTTACAGGTTTACAGCTGCACAATGTTGTACAGTTATTGCAATATCACTGTACGCAATAAGCATATTGTGAAAATCCTACTGGACTGCAATAAATGTGATATAATCATTTAAGTGCCATAAACTCACGTTTTTGATGTCTGTAACGTATTTGTCTTGCATGCAGCATAAAAAAGTTTTACAAATCTGTCTCTTCAGTGCCAAAGCAGCAGAAACGACTTTCTCAGTAAATCATTGTTTTTGCGATGCAGTTTTTAATAATTAGCGTTTATTTTTTGCAAGTCATATCGTCATCATAGCATACGGCAACATTATTGCATGTTTTACTAATATCATGCAGCCCTAATCAGGTGAACTTTTGGTCAACAATCTGTGACTGTTTCAGATAACTGCGAACAATAAAGATCTAAGAGGAGCTTAGACGTGTACTAACATAGGCACGCACGCACACACACAGATGACCTAATAACGCAGATGAGCTGAAGGCTGCTATTAAAGCAACCTGGTCTTAACACTTTAGCAGAGCCACAGGCTGATCGTCTTCATGCTACGTTGCATTGATGCAGCAAGTCATGCAAATGGAGCCATGGCCTCGTATTCAGTGCAGATACTTCACCCTGCATGAATATATTTATCAGTATTTGGGAGTATTTTAGTAAACACGTATTTTAATGATTTTACGCAACATTTAGATTTTCTAAGAAACTAAACTGTGAGTTTTCATGTGCATATTTATCAAAATTAATTAGCAATAAAAGTTTAAATTATAGTTGAATAATGAACCTATAATCTTTACTTTTTAAAACTGAGGACTTAAATTTTCAATCCTATTAAATTTTTTTAAAGAAACACCTACCTGAAAGTAAAAAAAAGTTACATCTAGTTAACAAGTTCAAATTGTTAGAAATGCATTTCTAAAAGTCACATTGTTGTTTCTTTTTTTTATTGTTTTGTTCAGGAGATTTTGAAATATTCATGTGCAACAACACACCTTTTATCTTCTTGAATGTACACAAATAGCTGTGGACTTGTTGTTCCAGTGCGTACACACCACTCATTCATCATTTACCAGTCTGCAGTTACCTTAATGGATGTTAAAGTGCAAAAGACAATATGATGAAATATTTAGTATATTTATTCAGCTGTAACCTGCCAGGACAAGCGCCAAATGCTGAGGACAATATAGATTAAAAGTATAAGTGGATTTCACTTATAAAATTGGACTTCGAGTCCAATCCAATAGAGCGGATTTAATGATTCGCAGTTTGTTTGAGGTGAAACCTAAAATGCTGTTAAAGTTCGTCCTTACAACACTCAGGAATTACCCTTTTTTAGTCAAAGTTTTGGTTTGCTCAGTAAAATGTATAGTGCTCATTAAAATGTTGTGAAAACAATATTAGGATATTAATTTGCTTAACATTTAAAAATCTGGTTTTATATTTTTGCTTTGTCGTATTCCACCTGCTTTTGTTGCTGTGACAACACGACAAACAAAAACCAAACTAGTTAAAACTCCTTAACTAGAAACTGGCTGAAACCCAGAGGCTAATTTTCCCCGCCGATTTCCTTGGCTAGATAACACGGATGGAGTACGTGCACACCAAGAGTCTGATCTACAGAGATGTGAAGCCCGAGAACTTCCTCGTCGGGAGGCCCGGGAGCAAGAGGCAGCACACCATCCACATCATCGACTTTGGTCTGGCCAAAGAGTATATAGACCCCGAGACCAAAAAACACATCCCCTACCGGGAGCACAAGAGTCTGACAGGGACGGCGCGCTACATGAGCATCAACACACACCTGGGAAAAGGTGAGCCTCCTTAAATAAACTCCAGCTTAATGAAAAATAAATAAATAAAATACTTAATGTGGTTTGTTTTGTTTTTGTTTTAGAGCAAAGCAGAAGAGATGATTTAGAAGCTCTGGGCCACATGTTTATGTACTTCCTCCGAGGCAGCCTTCCTTGGCAGGGCCTGAAGGTAAACAACCATAAAGTTTCACCTAAATTATGCAGTCTATGACTGAATCTAACAATTATTATTATTTTTTTTTCAAGTTTATTTGATAGGGACAGACACACATTGACATAGACAAACTGAATAAAACAGCAGTCCCATGTTTGCATCATGGTGCAATAGCAACAGCTAATTCGCAGACTTGTCCCTAGATGGGGACAAGTTATCTGTCCCCATCTAGTTATCTATTTGTCTGATCAATCAGTAAATTAGGCAAAACATTTTACACATTCTGAAGATTTTTTTTATTCAACTAGTTATTACAGAAATTATATATGCATTAAAAATCCAAATAAACAAATAATTCAGTTCCTTTTGTTGAATAAGTAAACATTTTTATTAGTAATTCCTTCTGTGTATGCTTCATCATGATCGTCTTCAGAAGGTAAAATGTTTACAATAAACATCGATTGGAAATCCTGATTTAGTTTGAGTTCTCACCACTACTAGTTTTAATTCAAAATCAGAACATTTTCTACATTCTACATTTTTTAATTATGTGCTGCTTTATAGTTAAGAAAAAAATCAAAGTATTATTGAATATCGCACTTTTATGTTAATTTTAAGATGCATTGAGGAAAATTATTTTAATCTACTGTCTTTATCCACTTACTATATTGTTAAAAGATAAAATCTTGAATTAAAAAACAAAAGTAATTTCTGCATTGTTTTATATTTAAATTGCAAAGAGGATTTTCCCTAAAAGCATGATTCTATCCATCAGCATGATTCTATCTATCTATCTAGATTTTCAGCTGAAAATCTAAAAACCTTTTAGATTTTCAGCAATTATTTAGTTCCCAATAAATGCAGGTAAATATTTACTGTGTAAAACAGGTGAAAATGTTTGGTTTTTATTAACAAATGAACTCAAAACTACCCACATGTTGAATTTATAAAGTCTGATATGACAACATTTCTCAGTTTAATTTCCCTTTTTTTTCATATGAGCAGAAGATCACTACCTGATTATTAGTAAATTCATCAGAGCTCAGATAAAAAGCTGTTGAAACAGGAACCGCTAAAAAAAACACATACTGGTGCTCTCTAAAGATAGACCCAACAATCTCCTGGCTACAGATTTAAATGATAAAACATTTCTTCTAAATGTTTGAATATTGTTGGCAGAGCTTCTTCACAGGTTGATTCTTTTTCCCCCACAGAGTCATGACTCATCTAATTTTGTTTTGTTGCATAATCACGCACAAACTTCCCCACTTGATGTATACTTGAATCGCTAAAAGAGCCTCAGGCGCCACGAAGGGCCAGCAACAGAAGCGCCTCAGCAGCAGGTTCTAGCAGGCGGCAGACATGCTTCGCTTTCTGAAGGCATCAGTATCAAAGAATGGCGGAGAAGAAAAGAGATGTGAACAGTTGCTGTGTGGGTGGGAGTTCTTGGTGGATGAATGTGAGGGATGTAGTGTGGGGGATGTCGCATGGCTCAGGCCAGAACAATCCTCTGCTGTTTAAAGATTCAGACGTGATGGAAACGAAGCGGCTCGATTCCTGACACTCAGAGTTCCTACAGCTGGGAACGGCCGGGAACTTCCGGGGATGTCCGAGGTTTACAGGGCGGAGCAACGGGAATGATACAGATTTATACTTAAACACATCCGTCCACCAGCTGTCTGCTTGTCCATCCATCCATCCATCCATCTATCCATCCGTCCATTCGTCCCTGTGTTTAAACTTCCATCCGTCTATCAGTCTGACAAACTTTCTGACTATTTTTCCCATCCCTCCACTCAGGCCTTTAGCTTTGTCAATTTATTCTTCTCTTCATCCTGTTTCTATCCATCCTCTTTTTGTTCTTCCTTGCATCCACCTGTTAATCCATCCATCTGTCATAATTCAGCCCATCCATCCCTTCCTTCACTTCACAGTTTACAGGTTTTGGAGGCTCTATGTTAAAATTGAATATAAAATGTTTCCTCACGTATAAAGTACTAAGTAATAAATTAAATGTTGGAGAAGTATTTAATAATAGCTTTGTGTATTTTGAAGTCACCACTGCTGGAAGCGAAACTGTTTCAGTGACGTATTAAGAAATCGTTTCTAAATCTAAAGTGCCGTGTCAGATTTATGCAAACGAGGCTTAAGTGCTATAAATATCACTGGGGAGACCAGAGGAGTTTTCATCAGCCATGAAGCCGAGAGCCCAGGATTAAACTAATTTGATCATCTGTTTATTTTTAAACCACACAGCTTCTTCATATGTTTTATGGTTTAAATAATGAAATGAAAACTTCTCTCCACTCAAGGCTGACACTTTGAAGGAGCGATACCAGAAGATCGGAGACACCAAACGAGCGACCCCGATCGAAGTGCTTTGTGAGGGCTTCCCTGGTCAGTTGGAGCACCCTGCATCTCACTCACCACTTCCTGTTCTGCTGCGTTCTCATTGGCTGCTGCTTTGTTTTGTAACAGAAGAGATGGCTACCTACCTGCGCTACGTGAGGAGGCTGGACTTCTTTGAGAAGCCAGACTACGATTACCTACGGAAGCTCTTCACCGATCTGTTCGACAGGAACGGCTACGTCTTCGACTACGAGTACGACTGGGTCGGCAAATCTCTCGTGAGTGCCTCATCTCCCCGCTTTCTGTCCCTCTGCCGTCAGAGCAGAAGAAACGACCTGGATTTGATCCCTGATGAGCCTGTTCTGTTCCCTGCAGCCCACACCGATCGGCCCCATCCCCAGTGACACACCGCTGCCACCCAGCAGCAGAGACAAAGCACAACAGCAGACCAAAAACCAGGTGAGACCCTCAGCTTCCAGCTCCTCATCCAGCCCACCTACTTGAATGGTCCTCATTCCATATCGGACCACTTCTGTAGTGCGATTAAACAAGCAGCTTCCTGGAGAACGAGGCTGGGTTTGATTTGTTTTCAGAGTCCTTATCAGACAGCAAGAAATAAGATAACGAAATGCTGAAGTGGAAAAAATGTAGATATCTTCAGTCATGAGGGAAAGAAGGCATCATTTATGGCTTCCCATGCAGAAGTATTTATACCTCCTGAACTTTTCCATGATTTGTCAGGTCACAGCCACAGCGTCGTGTGGTAAAGCTGCATGGATGCACTAATTACAGCTTTTTGGTGTCGTTACTCACGTCGCTCATCTAAAGATCTAAATTTTGGCTCATCCGAACAGGATGGATGGTGTAGGTGAACAGCGATTTCCAGCACAGATTCTCAGTTGGATGAAGACCTAGACTTTGACTAAGCAACTCAAATATGTGAATATGAAGCTTCCTGCTCCTTTTAGATGCGTCTGTGCTTCAAAACACCCGAGTCAAATGAAGCTGCAGCTACAGATTATTTTAGTAATGGAATATTCCACAGATTATTCTGACGATTAGTCGATTATTCTGATGATTAATTGATTATTCTGATGATTAATTGGTTACTCTGACTATTTATTTGACAATTAATCAATTAATCGGTTGAAAAAATGGCATATCTCTCATTTAACCACTTATGCTTATTTTATGCCATAATAAAAATACATAACAAATGAAAATAAACATAAGATTAAAATTTTATTGCCTAAAATGCAGTGACAGCATTCCTTTAGTAAACGATTGATCATCTGTAGCAAAGGATGCATCTGCAGCTAAAAACACATCAATGTAAAAATCTGAGTATTCATGCAGTGAAGGGCTAATCTGATTATTTTTTTGATTAACTGATTAACAATTGGATTTTAAAAGGTGTTTAAAATTTGATCTTTTTTAATGTAATTTGATTCAGGTGAAAGTAAAACTGCCACTTGAGGAGTTTAAAGAAGTTGGGATAAAACAAATTTATAGATCAAGAAGTTTTTTTTTTTTTTTCATCTTAAATGCAAAATGTTTATATTCTTTCTACAGTATTGGCTTAATTATTGATCCGAGGTTGTTCTTTCAGTAAAAGACTTATTTTGTTAATCAACCGATTAACAATGAATCAATTATTAAATTAGTAATTATTTCATTAATCGATTAATCACAATTAATCTGTTTAATCGTTTGAGCCCTAGAATCAAATAATTAGAGCGTCTGCAGGACTGTGGAGAACCTGACTGCATGCAGATGAGGTCATTTAGCCTTTGGATTCGGGTTTCAGGGTTCATCTGAAAGTTGCAGGCCTTCTCGGCCCTCCAGGCCTGGATGTGACACCCTGGATTAAACCGTCCCTTTTGTAACTCCAGCTGCATCTCTAGGGTTTATATTCTGCTAGAACGGTGAAGCTTCACCCCAGATTAAAGTCTTTTTTCTGCCTCCAAGCTAGAAGGTAAAACATTTAATATTTGGTCTTAGAGAATGTCCCAAGATGTTCAAATTGCTTTTTTCATCAGTGGCTTTTTTTCTTGAAAACTTTTCCGTTGAGGCCAGGTTTGTAGGGTCCTGGACAGATTATCGTAGCTGAGCCTGTGCATCTCTGTAGCTCCTCCAGAGTCACCATGAGCCTGTTGGTTTCTTCTTAGTGATTCTCTCTGTCTGGCCTGCCAACTTAGCCAGCCGTACTTACTTTATGGATGTCCAAACTTTTTGCAACGTGGGCCAAAATTCAGTTTGAAAGTAAAATTTTAATTTTGTTCCTTTTGTTTTCTTTTTTCAAGAATGTTTTCTTTTTATATGTACTAATAAAAGGAATTAAGTCAGATTTCCGTACAAAAGGGAGCTGTAGGTTATTGTAGATGTAAAACATAAAATCTAACAACTTTGTCTTTTTTTAAAAGAGACACAAAAAACTGCCAGGTATGATTCCAATCTGTTTATTTCCAAGATGTTTGGATTTTTTGTCTTTATTTAGCTCAGTTTACAACCAAAATCTTCATCATTGTCCTATTTATTAACTTGAAGTAAAAACACAAAAAAGTCATGGTTGATAAAAGATGTAACATTTTTATAGGGCCGCACAGAATCACATTGAAGGCCACAAATGGCCCACGCGCTACACTTTGGACACCACTTCCTTACAAACCAAGCGTTTTCTTTCCACTTCCTTTCTGCTGGTCCATCACATACAGTTTGTGGTTGTAATGGGATAAAGCGTGGAAGAGTTCAGGGTGTGAATACTTTGTGCAGGCCTCCCGCCTCTCTAAGCAGCAGTCATTATTGCATGAGTTGAAAATGCAAACTGCATTGTTCATACCAGTGATGACTAATTACATGCTTAGTGTGTGACAGTGTTTTTAAGTTAGCATGCAATCTGACCCTTTTTTATTTTTAATGTGTAGGCGAGGAATCATTTGTGAGATTTATTATGCACAAAACATCCATAAATGATGGCTGATTGTCATAAATAATGGTGCAGATAAGGTTGCTGTGCTTGTTGAGTCATCGTTTACCGCGGTGTTGTTGAGGAGTTCATTTCATTTTATGACTGACTTATTACAGTGGACTCTAGCTCTTCCCTCCCTCTTTTTTTTTATACTGCTGTTGGTTTAATGTGATTGGCTTGGAAACAACGTCCATCTTTTAACGCTGGCAAAGCGCCTCCTACTGCAATGTGCACGTTGGCCATGACTCAGACGATTTTACATCTCTGTTTTAATTAGTTCTGATTAAAAATTAAAATAAGTTTTCAGCTGCAGCAAAACTAGTCCTGCGATGAAATCACCTGACAAGATTGATTGCTGTGTTTTTTTTATATGGAAAATCAAGTTTGAGGCTGTTCTTTTTACCTCTGCATGAGTTTATTTGTATGCTTCAAATAAATTTTTGCTTCCTTTACTCCTCTATTAACATAGTTTGTCTTAACAAGCCTGCTTCTGCTTGGGAGATGTCGTCTTTAATTTTACTTTTCTTTTTTTGTTGTTTTCCATTTACTCCCCTTTCCTCCGTGTTACTCCCCCCCACACCTGATCCCTCACATGGCCTCCTCCTCCCTCACCTCTGACCCCCCCCTTTATTCTCACCACTTCCTGCCTCAACCCTTTCTGCTTTGTATCAAGTCACCTGAGCCCAAAGGAAGTGAGTCTCAGCCCACCCCCGTGACCAATAAGGAGACTCTGGGGTCGCACCTCACAGCTGAGCGGCTGGGGGGCTCTGTTCAGGTACCACTGCTGCTGCTCTGATGGCTAATGCATGAATGCATGTAATTTTGTGACAGACTTTCCCCCCTGCTTCCCACTGAACCCACATTGCCTGCCTGCCTGCCGGTAGACGCTCTCTTTGTTGCTCGTGTTTTTCAATCGGACTCTTTGAACCTCGGTGTGCTCTGCATGCTGCTGAATAAAAGCTCCCCTGCTTCTAGGCGGCTTGCAGCAAACAGCCATGCAAAGACGATGTCCGGTGATGTCCCCACCTCATGACGCGCAGGTGCATCTCGTTATACCGGAATGTCACCTAAAGAGTCAGAATTATTTTATTGTCATTGTGGACGAAGAAAGCACAACGAAATTTAAAATACAGCAACTCTCAAAGACAAGTCAAATAATTGAATAAAATAATAATAAGTATATCTCAATAAATATAAAAACATATCAGGAACACAGAACAACTGAGATGTTTAGGAAAAATAAATGAATAAATGATGATCAGGTTTTTGATGGATTAGCTGTGTTTAGGGTAGCAACAGCAACAGTTTGTGCTCGACTTTATTGATCTAAATCTAATATTAAATTAACTCGTATCGATAGCAGGAATATATCCTCCCAGAAGATCATCAATTATCGTATCGTTTATTATTTATCGTGATAAGAATTTGGATTTATCTTCACAATAAATTCCAAGTAATGATGTTTAGTCTTTCCTTCATTTAATCTTTGAGATCCGGATCTCGTTTTCAAAACCAACCTGAGCTGAAATCTGCAACACAACATTCTGGTTACACAAAAGTAAAAAACAAAAGAAAACATGTGCACAAGCTTAAAACTAAATGCAAAACAATATAAAAGCAATGACATCGATTAATAGAATCGCGTTGCATCTTTTTAAGAGTCGTTTAAAAAATTCAAATAAGACATCTTTAGTTCAGACTGGAGCAAAACCCTTTCATATTGTTATTTTCTCCACTGTTTTTTCAATGAAAATATCACAAAATTTTAATGTGTGATACAAATCACGCGTCTTTATCTGAATAGTGTCCTAAAGAAGCAAATTACAAATGAAGTCAAGTCAAAGTTTATTTATATAGCACAGTTAAACAACCTTAGCTGACCAGAGTGCTTCATAATATCACAGATGGATAAACAATAAAACAGAAAATAAAACAAAATGTAGTGAAAATAATAAGACAATTATGAAATTGGCAGAAAATACCAAAAACTAAAAAACCAAAACAAAACTGCTGCAATTTTATTTGCTAAAGAAATTAGGAGAATAGATGCGTTTTCAGTCTGGACTTAGGATTTGTGTTTGTGGATCTATGATTGCTGTGTCATGCAGTCACATCTTAAAAATGAGTAATAAGTAGCTCTTATCACTTTTACTGCTATCACAACAGAACCACAAAATGTTAGGGCAAAACTTTAGGTCCAAATCGCCAACCTCTGTCGACACTTAAAAAATTATTGTTAGTTAGCCATTTGGAGGCGTTGCATCCAAGCATCTTAATGGAAAGCTTAGTGGAAGGAAAACGTGTGGTGGAAAACATTACACAAGCAACAGAGATAAAACGGAGAGTCCTGATTCTCAGTGCACACTACTAATTAAATGTGACCAAAGTCAGAGCTTTGCATTCAGAAATACTTTTAATTCAAAAGAAAAATGCGTTCGCAATTACATGTAAACATATTTTAGTGTTTCTCTTCAAGAAGAATGTACCTGCTTAATAAAGTTTAATTACCTTCCCTTAGAAGTACTGAGCGTACGAACTGTACAGTAGGCTGACATTTCTTAATAAAAATATATTTATTTAGTTTACAAACAACAGCTGTTCTCTGTAATAGTTATATTTTCATCAGCCCTCATCAAAATCATCACATAAACTGGAATAAGTGCATGAAAATATTAAAACTCTGTGTAATGAGTTTCACTTTTTGAATTCAGTTACAAATTATATTATATATATTATATTATTATATAAACTTCATGATTAAAAAAATATCTCAAAACTGAAACTCATTAAGCATATGATTATTTCATTTTGTGTAATTTTCTGTTATAAGTGACAAAAAAGAACAACTGTCTGAAACATTGAAGTATTTTTGCTGTCCAAACATGGACATTAATCCATAATTTAGGTCCCATTGTGTTTTTCCCAGATGTCCCATGTCTCCTCTGTTGAAGTGGGACAAATACGCCACCTAGTGTTGCTTAGTAGAGCTGCAGGTTTTATCAGTGTTTGTCTTCACATGCAGAGTCCAAACAGGTAGATCTTGTTCTTCCTCTCTTTCTAATGCAGATCAGGTGATGGCTGTGACACCTGCACCATTCTGATTGGTTTTAAATGAAGCCGTCATTCGTGGAAAGCGCTAATCTGTTGAACACAAAGGAAAGAGGAATTAGCTACTTTTTACTGTAGAGTTTCTCTTTGGAGAGGATGAACAGGAAGAATATGAACCAGCTTTAATTTTTAGTCTGTAATGTTGCTTTAGCGCTTCAGTCCAGATTAGACGGTCCTTATCTCCACCTGCGTAACGTGATTTTAATGATGATCCCTGTCTTCCAGTCGTCTGTGTTTGAGAAGTCTGATATCCCTTTTTATTTTTTGAAACGCTGCAGGTGATGAGCTCAACGAACGGCGAGCTGAACACGGACGACCCCACGGCCGGACACTCCAACGCTCCCATCACTGCTCCCACTGAGGTTGATGTGGTTGACGAAACCAAGTATGAAAAAAAATTAAATGAAATTATTACCAGTACTTCTGATCCGCTCTCCATTAGATCATAGGTTGAAGCTCTAAGTCAGTTGTGTCAAACTCATCTTAATTTTGGGCCAGAAATTTTGATAAAACCAATTAAACTGTTAAAATATCAAGAGATGGCTGCTCCTCCAGGAGTTTCAGTGTTTTAGTGGCTTTTGCATTTAAAATTACAGATTTTGTGGTGCCAACTCAGAAATGTTTGTTGGGAATTTTTACAATATTTGCGCTAAATGTATGGTGCTAAATGTGACTTTTTAATACTCACTGTGTCATTTACAGAATATAACTTGACATCATAAGACTGAGGCAGCAGTCACGTAAACTCAATGTTTTTGACCAATTTTGAAAAAATTTGCAGTAAAAATCAGAATTTTTTTTTTTAATTTGTTGATTTTGTGTGAATTTCGCAGATTTGTGAAAAACTGGAGGGACTTATTGATGTACTTTGGAGTCTAGAGGGCCACATGTAAAGCTACGGCGGCCCATAGCTTTACATGTGGCCCGTGGGCCTTAAGTTTGACACATGGGCTCTAAGTGAATCTCTAGATTACTTTTGCTTGACCCTGGTCTATGTTGTCATAGCAACAGTCTGACAACAGCTCCATTAATGTGACAGGATTTGACACCAGAAAACATGTAAACATTTCCTTCACAAAGAACAGAACCCTCAGTCCGTTACTGTTTTATGATTTCAGGCTTGATGTTTTATTTTGCGTTCATTAATAATTGATCGTCTGAACATCAGCTGTGGTTTATTAGCTATTTTATTTTCCTGCAGCACATCTACTTGTGAAGGTTGTCAAAGTCAAGCTAGCATAGCTGACCCACTTCTCTATCCCTCGCTATTTTTTTTCATGATCTGCAAAATGTGATCCCATTGGACATTGTTTTCTAGTTCTTGTATTAGTATTAAAGCACTTTGTCCCTTTTTCTTTTATATATGATACATTTAAGATTTTACGTGTTGACAACTTTACAGCTAGAACCATGGTAGTCAATGACTGTGAGCAACTTCTCTGTAGAGAACCTGGTTGCCGACATGTTGGTGTGTTAGAATTTGAACTGGAGATGGTCAAATGCAGTCCAGACTCATTTAAAGCTGTGAAATGGTCCTTTAGCTTGGTGCTAATGCAGGATGCTAACCGCAGAGATCCTGTTTTTCTAATTGTAACCGTTTCCCTGCAGGTGCTGTTGTTTCTTCAAAAGGAGAAAGAGGAAAGCCCTCCAGAGGCACAAGTGAAGGAAGAGGATGGAGGCAACTTGAAACATTGTGGTCACTGTCGAGTTTTAAATGGAAGCAACTACACAAAAAGGCCCTGCCCCCTTCGTCCCTGCTCTTCTTCCCCTACAGGCCGCCACCATGTACCTCCTTCCTTCGCGCTCCCTCTGTTTCTCTTTCTCTCTCTCTCTCGTTCTCGGCGCTCCCCACGGCTCCCGCCGAGTTGAAGGAATGTTGCAGTCCTACTGACTCCACAAGAGACTTTTGATTCTTTTACAGACTAATTCTAAGCGTACCTGCATTACAACTGGGAGCTCGAGGAAAAGCGTATAAAAGCTGTAACAATGAAACTCGAATACAGTGGCGTGAATTTAAAAAAGAAAAAAAAAAGCTGCCGTTTGAAGCAGTTGTTGTATTCTAGATTCCATGCAGACCGTTTGGATCAGCTGTCGATCAGGGGAAACTATTCAGGTGGTTCAAGTGAAAGAAATCTGCTCCGTAGGAATTAAATTTTCTTTTTTTTTTTTATCCTTTTTTTTTTCTCGGTGTGTATTTTGGGATCAAGGTGAAAGGTGAACTATGCTGATGTTCAATCTGAGAGACAGGAAGCATTTCATCTTTAAAACTGAATCTGATTTTTATTGTTTTTGTCTTTTGTTGTTTTGTAAGTTAATCCTCAGTTTTCAGACTCAAACCCTACATTCAATGCTTCTTTTCATGTTGTAGTTTTCTGGAGTTCGGCTCTTTCCTCTCGTCCTTCAACGTGGTCTTTGTAGCACAGTCACTGGCCTCAGGTACTGTGGAAGAAAGAGCGAAAGCAGATACTAAGCTCTCATTTTTATTGCACTTTTGGGAAAGAAAACAATTACAGTGGAAAATCTTTAGGCTTAAAATTAAAAGTCAAGACTGATCTAGGATGATTATATCTGCGCTCATGGCTTAAAAAGGAAAGGAAGATGTTTTGATTTCTTTTTTTGTTTGTTTTACATCCAAATAATTTACCAGAAAATTGTAGTTTGTGCCTTTTTTAAGTAAAATGTTTAAAGCTCAAGTGAGTGTCCCACAGTGAAATTTTATCTAATCTGGCCCAAATGCTCGGTGGATTAATGTCCGTGCTCGTGTGTTTGGGAGGGAGCACACTGGCGGCCGCTAATCCGGAAGTTCCTGTAAGCAAATCTGTGAAATGAGCGCGTGCATCCCTGCAGCCCGCTTCAGAGAGGTTTACGGCAACAGAACGGCCAAACATGGCCGATGTTGTGATATTTCATCTGAATAAGTAGAAAACAGAAAAAGAGCTGAGTGAGGTTTTCTCTGGAATCGCTGGAATCCCATTTTTGATCAAACGGATCAGTAAAGCTCATGTTGTGGTTTCTTGTACCTCATGTTAGGTCTTCTTGTTTTCCTCCAACATGTCTGACAAACTCCTACTTCCTTGCCTAGAAATTCGAAACATACCCTAAAAAATCTCAGCTCTTCTGCCATCATTGAGTTTTGTCACCTCCAGCATATAGCCAGCTTTTGTTTGTCGCAAGAAACATTTGAGTTAAGATTTTTGTTTTCATGTGTAAATTTTAATGAAAAAGGAAACATCTGAGCCTGTTTATGTTTGAGACCATGGACTGATTACTAGTTATGCACCAATCATTGATTTCTGCTGTTCTGTGACATCTGACCTGCCGATTTCAACTTTGACTGCCTCCCATGTTGTTTTTTCTTTCTCCTGAGGATTACTGAATCTAATAGAAAATGACATATTTACAAGATTATTCCTGTTCTATGCATCAAAGCATACATTTCTAATCATAACTTGACATATATTTATTAGGGATTCAACTCAGAATAAGGTTACATACTGTCTGTGGTAATATATTGAAAATGCATCATTAAAAACAATTCAGATTTTTGTCAGCATTTGAACTGATCAAGAGAAAATTGGCCAATTCCTAACTGATAGTTTGTGGCACACCAGGAATTCACAAGATGCATAAATGTCCCAAATTATAAAAATAAAATGGTACATAATAATCAGAACCAAATTTATGCCACAAAACATTTATTTTCTGTTCTAATAATAAGTCCAATTTATTTTTTTCCCCCTATAATCCGTTCGTAACTACCCTTCCAGAACATGTTGACCCGTATGTTATAGCATTAAAATCATTTTGAGAACCAATTAAACTGAACTCATACCTGTAGGATTCACAAAAAACGTTTTGATCAAATTATTTCAAACCTCATCTGGTTTTCACACAACGTTGCCACTTTTTAATTTTTTTATTTATTTTACATTCACGTGAATCCAGCTGTTTTTAAGAGAGCAGATCATTTGTTCCTCTAAGCAGGTTTTAGAGGATTGATGAACAGAAGTGAGAATGCAGCTGTGCAACCCCACAAAGTTCCTGGACGCCTGTCATAGCCATTACTTAATTTAGACATGCAGTATAAGGAAACTGCAGAGTTGTACGTTTGCTGCTGTATATTAACCCAAGCGCATACCCAAATGTTCAGATTATGGCAAGCCAATAGGGCCAAATGTTTTATTGGACATGTCTGGCTAAGAAATGGTGTTAAAATCACCTTGGGTTAATGAAAACTCTTCCAGATTTTATGCCTTTAAGTGGTTTTTCAAGGCCACCTGAGCAGCAGAAAGAAAGGGGAAAACCTTTACCCAGTTAATGAATGTTGCTTAATTTGTCATTCTTAAATGAGCCTTTAATATCAAAAAGCTGGACCTCCACCCACCGCCACTCAGGAGTCGTTCAGAACGCATTCTTGATGGGGATCTGGTGACTACCCAAAGTGATTTTATGCGATTTGTTTAGGAAACGGGTTGAAAAAAAAAAAACCATCACAAATTTCTGTCGCTAATGGCTTGCCATATGGGATGACTACGCCGTTACATGTGGACCTGTTAACAACAGGGAGCACTTGTTGGCTCATCAAAGTATTCCACTGAAAACTAGATTGGTTCTTGTGACCAGTAGGGAGCTCCAGCTTGTTATAATCCATTACTCTGCGTTTATTATGTGATTTCTAATTGGGGGAGAGAGTTTCCGGAGATGCTCAGACCAGTGTTGAACTGTGCTTCTGCTCTACGTCTCTTGGTGTAACTATTTGCAACATGTATTTGTAAATATGACAACGACAGATCTCTAATTGTGAATAAAGGAAGTTTTATCACAGGAGTCAGTCATGGAGCAGTTTTTTCCCTGCTGGTTGCTCTTAAGTCTGTAAATCTACGTCATCTACATTTACGTCACCTGGCTGGTCGTCGGTCGTCTCATCTGGAAAGTGTCAGATAAAAGTCGAGGTACTGTAAAAGCTGCAGTATGTAAGTTTTATAAAATATATTTTTACATGTTTGGTTGAAGCTGCCATCTTTCATTTTCAATAACAGTTTTCTGATCGCTACAAGTGACATTAAGCTGCTGTCATTCTAGGCTTTTCGCCATGTCTTCCACCACAAACCCCTTCTTGACGTTCCCCATGTAAAAACAACTGAATAGACAACAATTACAATTTTTGTGGTGGAAAATAAACAAAACACAGGTGACTGATTA